GAACCCCAAGCCGACCTCGGAGGAAATTGCCATGCTGGCTGACAACCTCTCCATGGAGAAGGAGGTTGTCAGGGTCTGGTTCTGTAACAGGTAAGTACGTACCTTCGTTTCTGGTTCTCTTGAAGGATTGCCCTTTGATAGTGTGAGCGGTTGAGTGTAGCGCACGTCAGTGGAGGCCTCTTCTCCACATGTTGCCAAGGTCAAAAGGGTCTCAACACTATCAAACCTCAACCTTACTACTTGCTATCTCACACGACTCATGTCCACATGCTTGTATGATGAGTCTAGAAAGCACAGAGGGGGGACTGGGAAACTGGACTAATGTTTCGTTTTTTTTTCTTTTGCAGACGCCAGAAAGAGAAGCGAATAAACCCTCCCACGAGTGGCATGGTGAGCCCGCCGCTGAGTCTCAGCAACACCTCGGTGTTCAGCACTGTACCCATCTCCTCTGCCCTCACCCTTACCAGCCTGGGACAGCCCCCCCTCTCCCCCGTGGGCCCCTTGCCGTCTCCCTTGTCTCTGGTCACTCACAGCTACCCTCCAGCATCGCCACCAGAGTCTGCTTCCACAAAGTCAGAGTAGGTGGGTGCCCGGGCTCCTTGCGAGGCTCTGAGGCCTCCCAGGGCAGCCCCCTGGCACCTACTCTCCCCTGCCACGCCCCGCCCCTCTCGTGCAATGCCTCACCCCTTGGGAGGCGGGGACCTGTGGCTCTACGGGGCACCCCAGGAGTAGCACCAGGAAAAGCAACATTGCCGCCCTCCCTCGCGGGGGGAACCAGCGCCACGAAGACGCTGCGTCGAGAAACGGAATTTTGAGCTCCAGGAGGAGGATCCTGTGTCATTGTTGTTAGTGTGTATGTGTGATGGTGGTAGCCTGGCTGCCACGGACTCACACGGGTCTTGCAAGCCTCACCTAGCCATGGCTGCCAGTAACAGGCGTGATCATATCAGTGTGGCAAGGAGGCGGCCTCGGCGGACCGCGCGGAACATGGGACATTCGCCGCCGCGCCCAAGTGCCACTCGGTCGCAGACCAGGGCAGAGCCTAGACATTGCCCCACAGGGCGCCCGCCGTTACGGCAAGTGTAGTGCGAGAACTGACTCTAGAAGGACAGTGAGTAGGCGCAAGGGTGCAGCGGGCTCTCGGAGGCGCGAGTGCATTGTGTTCAGCGGCAGCGTGGCGCGCGGTCGGGCCAGGGCGCTCCCCACGCAGAACCTAACCCTCGGGCGGCGGCGAGGTGCCCCACTCTCGCTCTGTCTCGCTCTTAAGGTCTTAATCTGTCAGCTGTGTCGTTAACAAAGTCTAACTATGTCAAGAAAACGAGGAAAAAGAGATTCTATTACTTTTGAAGTGAAACTCCGGACGGCAAGACAGTGGGGGGCCCAGCCGTGGCCTCGAACGTGAATCTTGGCAGTAGTTTGTAAGAGGAACGGGGTACACCGGGAAAGTGTTTTTATGTGTAGTGGTTAGATAGATGAATGATTTCTGTATTATCATTGGAATACTGTCTATGTGGCTTATTTTATCTATGAGTACTAGTGTAACATTCTAGTAATGTCTACTTAAACAATCTTGCCTAATTCGAAATGAAAGTTCCTGCATATAAAATGAAGTACGTAACTTTTAAGATACCTCAGCCAAACAGTGGTGTTTGTGGGGCGGTCGGGCGCGGTGAGGCTGGCCGATTCCTAGCTGCATTTTTACTGTTGTAGCCTCAGAGCGCGAGGTCCCAGCGCCGCCCCGCCCGCCCGCGCCCACGTGTGTTCTCTACTCCAACGTTGTGATTGTGTAGTCATGGAGTATACTTCCCGTGGATCCATTATGTTAGATTCTTAAGGGCTTAGTGTATCAGCATCGCCCCGCCCCGCCCCCCCCCACCCCACCCCTAGGTCCCAGTCCCCTAAAGCCCCAACCCCTTACCCTAGCTCCTCCCCTTCCTAGCCCCCACATCCCCCCACCTCCCCTCCCGACCCGCCCTCCTCTACGAGAGATTACACGAACAGCGCGTGCTTGACCCGAGGGCCGGCGCGACCGTCTCCTTCACCCACACGCTCTCTCTCTTTCTCTCTCTGCGGCGCCCCATCTCGCCCCACGTCAGAACCAGGGGGAAGGGGAGGGAGGGACGGGGGTCATGCAAAGCCCCCTTCTCCTCCATCTCACCCCCACCTCATGTGGTCCCCCTCCCCCGCCTCCTTTTGTGAGTCTCTGCTTGTCTTCCAAAAGACTAATAGACAATTAAGAAAAAAATAATAATTCCCAGTTATCATCGCGACCTTCTGTGCGTCCATCGCCTGCTCGTTGTGGGCGTTAAGGTCCAGTTTAGTGCGGAGAAAAGGAACACAATGGTTCCTACAGATGAGTCCCTTTCCTATGACTGATTCCCTTCCCGCAACTCTTTAATTTATTATTGTTAGTGTTATTTCAGTTCAGTGCGAAAAAACGTGGTAATCGCAGCCCCGTCCTTTCCCACTCCTCCCGCACTTCCTCCCGCACGCTGACCACGCCCCTCTGGCCCACCCGGGACGTTGCCTTGGCCCCCCTACCCTTCTGGGTTAAGGGGGGAAAGGTGTCACTCTTAGGACACTTCCATTCTTTTCTCCCCATGCCCGCCCGCTATCCATCCCCTCCCCCTCCCTACCCATCCCCCTCCCTGCCCACGGGTGCTGACTCAACGGTGCGCATGCGCGAATAACTACCGTTCTTACCGTAGCTTTTGCCGACATTTTCCTCTCCCTTGTGTGTCCGTGACGAAGTGCAAAAGCCGTCACTTCCCCTGTCTCCGTCAGTGTTTGGTCGCTCGAACAGTTAGGAAACTATATTTTCCAAGTCGAAGATTACTAATGATTAAAAAATAAGATTTTGCTGTGCAGTATACAAAACAAACAAACAAAAAACAATGATAGTAATAACGAAGATTGTGTGTGTATCCCTTTTAATTGCCATGTCTTAATCAAGCCTTCCGCACAGTGACTGCCCCCCAGTCGTCGCAACTCAGGAGCATTATCTTATAGTATAAAACATTGGGGGGTGACCACTGTCGCCGCGGCTGCAAAAAAGCTCGTGATTGGTGGAGAGCAGACTCGCGTTGGGTGTGGGTTTTGATTGTGATTGGTCGATCCAGACGGTAGGGATTCATTCACTCGAACCGTAAGAAATTATATGTTTAAAGATAAATATATGGATAGATAAATAGATGCACGAAAAAGTGAGATGTAAAGATTTAAAGTAAATTGGTCACTTTCACAGTGTGGGAGAGAGAGTTGCCGTTTTGTGTTATATTTGGAGATTTAACCCCCTCCCTCCTTTCTCCCTTACCCCTCCCCTTCCCTAACACCCTCCCTTCTCCCTCCCTCTCTTGTAATTGTTATTTGTAAGGTTAACTTGTAGATCCACGAAACGCTAAACGAGGTATGGGTGTGGCCATCCACAACGTTAAAGAGAAAATTAATAATAAAATAAACATGGGTACGTTCTTGGTGAAAGGCTCGTTGTAGAAGCGGACGAGCGAGAGAGAAAGAGAAAGAGAGACACGGAAGGAATTTCAGGAGACGAATACCGAGATGGACAGAGAGAAGAAGAGACAAAGAGAAAGGCGAGATTGTGAGGCTCAGCACGCCGTCAGCTGGGACACAGGCTCCCTCGCCGGCGTCTCCGTCTCGCGTCGATGGAAGACAAACTTAACCCGGTTGTAACACGTGGCAAAAAGAAAGCTGCTGGTGAATTCCTGTTTTCTTATTGTTGTTGTGAATCATAATTTAATAATAATTATTAATAATAAAAAAACTGAAAGTTTCTGGTGAACTTTTTCTTTATGTTGTTGTAAAGTATAGTGATCAAAGTTTCTGTTTCTTTTGTTTCCCTCCTTTATTTTTCTTTTTTTCTTATTGTATAAATTCCTGAAAAATTGTTTCGAAAAAAATCTTTGTTGTAAGACTAAAATGTTCAGTGTTATTTTCTTTTTTCTTTTTTATAATGTAAGTCGCGATTATCGAAGGCTAGATGGGCATTATTCTTGGTCGCCGCTTAAGTATAGATCAGTCCCCTTTGCGCTCGAAAATGCGTGCGCACCCGCAAGCGCGCATCTCAGATATTTTGGCCGACATTCCACAGGACTCAAAGAAAGAAGTGGTAAATACATAAATAAAAAGGCAGTCTACAAGAATAGGAAAATATGTTACTGCATCAGCACAAACCTCGCCCCTCTCCTTCCAGGTCTCGAACTCAGACTTGCGTCGGAGGCGCTGACGAACAAGACTGACCCGGTGAACAATGCCGTTGTCTAATGGTCTCTCCATTTCCTTCAGGCCATGCAGCATAGGAGGGGGGAACTGGGGTGGGTGAATTGTCAACATTTCCTTGCTTCCATTTTCCCGCCATTTTCATGTTTTCCTCTTCAGTTCCCAGTTTCATCCGGTGCACGTGTTCTGCTCACTTCACTGATAGAATCATCGCGTGTTCTCCGAATCATTTCACCCTTAGCAGTCACTCTGATTTCGAGACTTCATCCAACTTTCCCCCTCCCCCCCCCCCCCTTCACGCAGACACAGCCCCATCCCTTATCCATCCCGCCCAAATCCGCGAACCCCCCTCCCCCCCCATTTCCAACCCTCTCTGACCACTTACCGAAGAGAATTGAAAAGAAAACCATGGATGAAATAACCACGTTAGGTGAGGCATCCAGCTGTTGTGCTGAAGAGGACCTCTCGGGTAGCCCCAAGAGTGATGCAGGAGTTCGAGTCATGTGATACACTGCCCACAAGAGGTCGCTCCGATCCCATAGGATGTATTCAAACTGCGTGTAGAGTTTATTTCTTTTCTTCTCCTTTTTTATATATATAAACTCCCCTACTCGTCCACCCCTAAAATCATTTCCATATTTGTTTGTTTGTTTGATATCGCTCATGTTCTGTATGCTCCCGTTTTCTAAACACTCGTTGAACCATGAAAACTCGATTCGCGGAGTCGTTTGATGTTTCGAAGCCTCATCGTCATTTTTGTGTAATACCATTATTTGTTATTTCTCTTCTCACTTCTCTTCATCATCTCTAGTCCTTCCTTACCAGTTTCACAATGCTGTTACTTCTTTATTTTATCTTCAGTACTAGTCCGTTCATAATGAAGAACTCCCCCGTTTACTCACGAGATCTCTTCGACCATTCTTTCTTCTGTGTTTTCTTCTCTTCTTTTATCATTATCTTCGGTCATCCTCATGATATTCACTTGTGTAAATATAGATTTAGTTTATTTTTCTTGCATCACTTCGATCGGCGACGAGATTTAATTTTTGGTTCAGCGGGTATTCTTCCCGTTTTCTCTTTGACGTTTATTATACTTTCCCATCTCCCTTTCTTTCTCTCCCCCACTATTTCTTCGTCTTTATTCTCTCTGTTTGTGTCAAAGTTATTTATCAAGTTTATTGTATTTTTTTTCTTTTCTTTTTTACTATTTATAGTAGGTGTTGTAAGTTAGGTTGACCTATAAGCTCGGCGTGGGCAAAAAAGCAAAAAAAAAAAAAATGTTTAGGCTTTATAGGCTTGTGGGCGGATACGCAAATGCTGACTTGTATTAGGAGAAAAAAATCGGCATTACTGACTTTTTCCTTCCGTTTTTCGGGAAAACAGGAATAGTGTGACGTTTTCCTAAATTTCGGAAGGTGATGTTTTTTTTTTTCTTTTTATGATGTCCAGTTTCCCAGTTTATTGACATTATATATCGTATTCTGTCACCGTAAAACGAATACGAGTAAAAACGAAAACAAAAAAATCTAATCTGATAAAAATTTGGTTTAGAAAGCCAGAGTTGTCACTGAATTCTGTCTCTGTACAGGCTAAATCACAGGTTAAAATAAGAAAATAACACATGATAATAAGATATGATAAAAAAAAGTATGTTCGCCCAAGGCCCACAAGGATGTCTTGAAAACCACGAGAAAAGAGGATGAGGAGGAAGACAGAAAGATGCTAATGAGCAGGTGTCGAGGTGTTGATCCGAGCGTTGTCATAACGTCTGTATAGCGCCATGTACAAAGGAAATGATTTTTGTTATCAATCATTTTATAGATGCAAATAAAGAGGTGTAAAAAAATTAGAAGGCAAAAGTGACTTTTATTGCAATCCCGGTTCTCACGTTGCAACATCATCCCGCCTTTCGTGACGCTTGGAGGGGAAAATGTAAGATTGTTGAAGGAATGTCTGCACTAAAGATTGGGAAATAAAGATGTAGAGATTTTCGTATCTTGATCTTTTTAAGATACTGCCACAAATCAAACAAAATAAGAATAATATTCTTAAAATTCGACAATATATCAATTCTGTATTTTCTTAGATATAGTTTAAACAAAGAGAAATACAATAAAATGAAAGTAGTTTAATCTTTAAATTAACTGAAATGAATTATTTTGTATGCAAAAAAAAAAGAAAAAAACAACAACAAAAAACATAGGTGAATTTCACACAGTAAATCCATAGAAATACATAAAGACTCAAAAAAGTCTAAAATTCTACCAAACGACTACAGCCGTTATACTTACATCCCATACTGTGCATTTCTTAACCAAAAAACTCCCACTGGAGGAAAGCAAGTATTTCATCTTCAGACATACATTTAGTCACACATTTTCGCTTCATCATTGCCGCAGTCAAAACATTTCTTGCAGACAAAACATTTTCTCAAATATTTATTGGAATTAGATATGGAACGGGCAGCCAATTCAAGCCTTATTTTTAGAAGAATAAGAGAGAAGAGAATGAAAGAAGAAAGTCAAAGAATTTTGCTTCATAAAACAGAGAGAGCCTTTTAAATGGCTGTGGAGGCTTCAGGGGGCTTCTTACCATCTCCCACTAGCGTTGATAAGTTTACTGGGACAAGTATTTACGTCTTAGAAGGCACACGCACACACACGTTAACACACACACACACACATACACACACACACACACACACAAACACACACACACACACACACACACACACACACACGCACACACACACACACACACACACACACACACACACACGCGCGCGCGCGCGCGCGCGCCTTACAATAAATTTCAATAGTATACGCTAAGAAATTTCTCATTTTCTTTGGAATCAATGTCTAGCATAAAGAACATCATTTTAGGGCTAACTTGTCTAACATAAAGATAAGGATAACTAATGTAAACAATATGTATGTATAAAAACACTCACACACACAGATACACACGCAAACATATATACGCATACATACAGAGAAAGAGAAAGATAGATAGATAGAGAGAGAGAGAGAGACTTCACTTTGACAAGTTTATTGAGACAAATGATTACATCTTAGAAGGATGAGGTAACTTAGGTTATCTTCATCCCTATCTTGATAAGTCCCTGTGTGGGTTCACATATCCCATACAAAACTTAGGTATATCAACATATGTGAATATACACAGAGCCAATGGTTTACATATCGGTAGAGTGACATAACACGATAAATCTCCACCCTCCTAGGCTCACATAATAACATACAACGCACATAATACATAATATTTGTGCAATAGATAATTATGACCCCTGAGGAGAGGTAATAGATTGTTGAGTCAATGTTTCTATCTCAGAGGAATGATGCATAACATACGATGGTCATCCTCAACTTTGTAGAAACCTATTCCTATTGCGGGCCTCTGCAGATTCGCCAGGTATGATTATGATTATTGGTGGAAAATGCCTGTACCTCTTCAAAATCATTTACACATTACTATTATCTTTGCATTTATATATGTCTGGAACACAGGATACTATAATATATAGTGTATCAAGGTATGTGATCTGGGTAATCTACACACCGTATATTCTTTTTTTTTTACTCGCTTGTTTGAACGCCTAGCTCCCAGTAATATTTATATCCAAGCCTGATCCTCATGTATCCTGTATGTACACTGTGTTTCCATTTACGCTTGTCCCTCTCGTAAGTAAAGTCTGTGTTTATCGCTAGATCCATATAGAGTCGCTCGTCTCAGCCACCTCGCCCTTCCAGGCCTCGTCATAGTCTAATTGTATCCCGCTGATATTGCTTCTTGTCTGTTTAAGAGTCTGCATACACTTAATGTTCACCGAATGCTTCGCGATCGTCCCGTTGCAATCTCATCAACAGTTTCATCAAAGGCTCTCTGTAAATCAACGAAAACCCTACAACTTTTCTGCACCATTTGGTAAACAATGAATTAGGCTCCATTTCCTTTCATAAAACCATACATATTGCAATATACTTTATCTCCAATCAAGTGCACCAGTCTATCTAACAATATCCGTTCCATCATTTTACATAAACGGGATGTCAGAGATGAATGTCTGTATCCTCCAGATAATTTAGAAATAGGTATTGTTATGGCTTTTTTCCAGGCCTTTGGCAATCTAACTTCCAAATAGCTCATGTTGAATAAATCTAATAAGGATAGCTCTCTATAATAACTAATAAATTTAAAATGTCATATAAAATGTCACCATCTCCTCCTGTTGATGTGTTTTCCCTCTCTGACTACATTTAGGAGTTCTTGTATACTTATACTCTGACAAGATATTGCAGTAATATTCAGGGTGACACTATTTGCTAATTTCTTTCAGTTTCCCACGTATCCAAGTGTCGCTGCGGCCCCGCCCTTTTTGGTGGAATTTGTTTACTGACTGAATAATTCAATGGTTTCTAAAGAAAAAAAACAGACCTTGTTGCTTCTTCTTTTATTCTCCATAACTGATGAAATATAATTTCTGTATGTTCATCCATATTTTCCATGCTATAGGCAAAACTAAAAGAAAACAATGAGAAACGTAACAACTGTGGCCACGTCGTCACATATACTATTAAACTGATAATAATTAACTCTAATGAGATACACCTTATAAAACACTTAATATAATGACAGGATAGATAAACAATTTCAATGTAATTTACCTGCAAACCACTATAACAGGAGCACATAACAAACGCCCATAAAGGAAATAAGAGGAAGACACATCCAACATGCTTTTCGCGTTACCTGTACTCACCTGCCTTTTGATGTTGTGTTGCTTCTCCCTTATCCACTTATTAATCTTCTTTTCTACTTCAAACCTGATGGTACAACTCAGAAGCTTCTTGAAGATGTTGTCTCATCAGTTCAGGGGTAACCATCCAACGGACTGCAGAGAGATAAATCCTTGTCGAGGAACAGGAGAGCTTCACGATCCTAAGGAACCTGTCCTAGAACCACTGGCACCGAGCACCAAAAAGGCATTTGAAAGAGTATTACATAAGGAGTGATGGAAATGATAAAACAGGAAAATACCCCTAAAGATGACATTACATTGGTGTGTAGGTGTTGGAAAGTGTGTGCATGTGAAGTCATAAAATTGTACACCGATCTAATCCTATTCCCCTAGTAACTAGAGGTTTACAATAAGACGCTGTCTTACAACGAAATACAATTTACCCAGTATGCAAGATATGGTAGTTAAAAAGGCCAAATTGGCTTGTAACTTGCCGAAGAAATGAAAGGCAGTGTGAGTGTTAAGCTTGTGTGAGTGTTAAGTGTGAGCGGAAATTTATTTTCATACATATTTTCGAGAGAAAGACAAGTGTGTCTCTCCTACCATAGCCACTCCTCGTCTGGATCCAACATCTTTTGTTAATCTTCGAGGAAGGTTGGCCCAGTAGCTTCTACGTGTTGAGGGCTAGACTGGATGTTCATGATTAAAGCCACTGTAATCGACCCAGGTGAAAAAGATTGGTCAAAACAGAGAGCTGTCAGGTAATTTATATCACTCCCTCACTAGCAAGGTAGTTTTCCCCTTATGAATAGTTAAGCACTGAGGTTAAATAGTATTTAGTACAATTTGTTTTTTTACAATTTTGATGCCGTGCAATGTCATACTTGATGATTATTTATAGATTAATAATATAAGTTAGTAGCAAATATTACTTTAAGATATATCGCTAGAAAAAAATGCCAGTAATGTTTATGTGAAACACGTGGTCATATGGCAAAAGTATGCTCG